GAAACTTCTCTAAGCTGGGTGGTCTGCGTCCCGCGCATACTTTACACAGCAGAGCAGAGCAGCTTCGGAGGTCGGGACACCCTCCCGCCGCAGCAGCCACCTTGTGTGGCGACCTCCCGTCTGTGTGCCCACCCGGGGAACGTTCTGGTTCCAGCCACCTTTCTCCTTGTCGCAGCGGTGGGAACTCTCAGAGTCGGAATGCCAGCCTTCAGACCAGCTCCTCTCTTACCGGCTCTTCGCAAACTGCTGAATTTGGGGCGCCCTTTCATTTTTGTCGCTCGCGCTTCGTTCCCACTCTTCCCCTCTCCCTCGTCCCAGGCTGAAGTCTGAGAGTTCTCGAAGTAAATCGCTTCAACTGCACTAGGCTGGCCTAGGGTGACGAGGCCCTTTCTGGCCAGAGTATATCGAAGCGGTTCACCCCAATCCTCTATAGGTCACCGCGCTCCTCCTTGGCCCTCCAGAGCGCTGTCCATCTTTGCTCTGGGCATAGTTAGCTCCCTGGAACCAAGAATGAACCTAAGAAAAATTTCTGGTTTTGATTAAAAAACAACAACAAAACAGAGAATTTTTTAAATAAATTGGGATGGTGATCTATTTACTTCTTGTCTTTTTGTCCTCAAACTACAGGGAATGATTTGTTTATTTGCCCTAAGCTCCAGGTCTCCAACACACTACTTTCTCATTCTCTCTCTCCCCCCTCCTTTTACTTGCTTTGTGGCCCTTTTTACGGTTTTCAGAGAAGAGGGTCTCCACTCCTCCCCATCTCCTCCCACCGGGTTGCCGAGTGCCTGTGAAAACTGGGGGAGTCATCCATGGAAATAAACAGGACCCCTACGCCATTCCCCGCCCCCCTTCAAGCAAGTAAAACCCTCCCTGGGCTCAATCACAAAAGTAGAGATAAAACAGATAAAGCCGCCCTCCCTCCCAAGGGAACTGTTGCTGAGAATTCCACGCCTTTGAATTGTGTTATTATCCTAAAAGGGTGATGGATGGGTGCAAGATGCACCGCTCATACGGAGCAGAGTGTGCTGGGGGAGGTCGGCACTTATTATTATTCATCATTAAGTATTAAGAGTGCTAATAAGGCCATCACCCTAGCCGAAGTCTGTGTTTACACGCACTTGGTTTTATGTCAGTCTCTTATTACAGTGGTTTCCGAAAGGGCCAACACCACAACAGTATTCATTCTCCACACTCATTCCACATATGGGACTGATCAACTGTCAAAAAGATACTGTCATTTTACCAGTTTAACTCGTGAACTTGAGAGGGCTGCAGCCCTAGGAAATGTCATTTTCATCACTTTGCCTTTTCAGAGTTTAAAAAACTTGGCAACATAATTAATTATGGTCCCAATTCCCATTTTCAATCTAAACCTATATCCAGGATTATATTAAAATATCCCATCACCCATTCTCTAAAAGTGACTCTTGTGAAATTACATTCCAATTTGGAGGATGGTAGAACAACTGGGAATGCCGCGCCCCCGAACTAGGAGAGATTAATACTGTTTCAAATTTCTGTCACAAACTCTTCTTCCGGGGGCTAGAGAGATGACTCAGAGGTTAAGAGCTTTTTAAGCTCTTGCAAAGGGTATCAGTTCTGTTCCAGCACCCACAGCGATCAACTCACAACTCGCTGCAAGTCCAGCTGTGGCTGGCACCTGCACGTAAGTGCCCATGTGTGCACACGCGTATGCACACGCACACACACATGCACAAAAGTTAAAATAGATACAACTTGAAAACTCTTTTTTCCTCTATAGAGAGTTATTACCCATTTCTTCTTTGCAGGACTCTTTAGTGACTGTCCTTAATCTTCACCATACACTTGAGACGTAACAGCTTGCAGCTTTGTCTGTATTCCTATTTCCATTTTGATGTCAGGGTCCCTTACTAATTAAACTTTTATGTCAAAGACTCGGGCTCATGGCAGCAACACTTTTTTAATTAGTAACTATCATAAAAAAGAAGCTAGAACTCTGTAATGGGTCCAAATTGCTAGGAGTTATATGTGGTTTAAGTTATGCGTTTATTTCAGCAGAATCAAAAACATCTTTTAATGATTTGCACATCCAGTTTTTAATCTCTGAAGATGTAGCAAAACGTATAATTTCAAACCGTCCTCGTAAAAACAATGAAGCATCAACCTTAGTTTACTCGTCCTGGGTCTTATCATCCATGTACTGAGGTGAGAATCTCAGAGAGAAAAAAACTCATGTCATAACTTTGCTATATGGGGCAGAAGAATGCAACATCCCCAGGAGCCAAAGCAGGTTGGTCTTTGTGTAACTTAAAGATTTTTCACTGACACTATGAACTTGGCCCTTTTGACTTTAGGTTTTCTCACATGGATTTATCACCCAGACACTGCCTGTTTTGCGGGAAAACATGTATTTTAAAGCTCTAGCGAATTATTGGAAATGAAAGAAAGGTATCCAGTGTTGATTTCTTAGCGGTTCAAGTCCGGCTACTCAGAGATCAAAATGCTCTGTTTTAAAGTTGACTATCACACACACACACACACACACACACACACACACACACACACACACACTCATTGTGACCAGAATGAAAGCGTTTCAAGTTGTTGCAGGGGCAGATTAGGAATGATAACCGGAAGACATGAACAGTATATGATTCCCACATAATTGCACAAATTCTATTATTTCAGTGTCTTTGTCCTTGGTTTCCTTGTGATGAGGTGGTTGATACTTTCCCATAAGTATTGTTATTTTCCCCCATTCTCTTGATGTCTGGTTTAATAACTGAACCGACAGAAGCACCCAGTTAAGGAATCATCCCTGCCAACCCCTAGGAAGAGCAGATATGGCAAAAGCAACACAAAACCATTCCACCTAATCCTTGAAATAGTTTCTATGATCTCTAAGAATTTACTTTGGAATGATTACTTGGAAAAATATAATTTATCCATCCTCTGCCGGCTCATTCCCTTGCCTGTAGCCTCGGCACAGCTGAGTTGTTGAAAAGCTGACAACACAGACATGTGCTTTAAAACTGATCTTAAAGCACAATTCTGCTGGTATTTAAATACCAGCCCCCCCTCCCCCCCAAAAAACCCTCTGTATTGAAGGCTAGAGAGATAGATCAGTGATCAACAGCACTTGTTGCTCTTGCAGAGGACCTGAGTTCAGTTGCCAGTACCCACCTAGTGGTTTGCAATGGTCTATAATCTGAGGTCCAGGGAATCCAATGCTGTTTTTTGACCTCTGAGGGCAGGAGCCATGTGTATGGTGCACATACATACACACAGGCAAAACACTCATGCACATAAAATAAAATAAATGCATCTTTTTAAAATGCTATGTGTTTTATTCCCTATAGTCTGGATAGTTTCTACTTCCTATATATTACAAGGGATAAAAAAAAATGACAAGCTTCTTTGTTGATTTCCGACTAGGAATAAAAGTAAATACAATAAATACAGTAGTTTGTGATATCACACAGTAGTACGCAGACCATAATTTCAGAAAGCAGGGCACATAGTGTATTTGTGCAAATTTGTGTGTCTCGACACTTCTGAGATTTCCCCTGGCACTTGCCCAGGGTTGCTCAAAAAGATCTGTTGTAAGCGGCTTACTTCTTAACTTCCAAATCTAGAGAGGCCAGACCCATGCCTTTCCTCTTCCTTTGCAGTCTAATGAAAACCTGCAAAGAACAAATTCACAAATTTCACTCTTCTGAATATTGTAAAAACATAAATTGTATAGATAACATAAATGTTCCAAATAAAAAATCTTCTGTGTTGCATCTTACAGCTTAAGAGTAGAACATTTGATGGCTGTGGAGTAAGGGCAGCATAGCTCTGTGGACCCATCCTTTACAGCTTAAGAGTAGAACATTTGATGGGTGTGGAGTAAGGGCAGCACAGCTCTGTGGACCTTCCTTTGGGAGGAAGAACCAGATCTGACCACAGAGAAGCTGAACCCTGGGCCCTGCTGCAATGTCCTTGCTGTCAAGGAACTCAGTGAACAGGATCCCATCGAGGCTTCAGTTTAATGTCCCCGATTCTCAAGAGCACAGAGGGTTGCAGGGTTTCACGTTGTTAGTCTTGTCATCACTTGGAATCAGACTTTAACTTGTTTGGTGAATGCACTGAGTTTTTCATTTGTCAGTTTTCCTATTGCAAATTTGGATGACACATACCGAGTATAACTTGGTAATTATAACAAAATCCTAATACACAAAGAGTGAGATTCCTATCATTGGCAAAGGTATTTACATGTTTTGCTATTTATTGGCAGCAGGTATGTGAGAAACAGAGCTAACTTGAAAAGGCCTTTTTGTTTAGAATTGGCTTAGATGCTACAAGTGTCAAGAGACCGTAGAAAGTGAACATTTACAGTTTATAGAACATTGTAGTAAAACACGGCCCATAGTCAGTTTATACATCTCGATATGGCAATGTTGACTCCCTGGAGTTGCCTT